GCCTATATAGTAAATACTATACACTGTTTTCAAAGCTGCGCAGATAGTCTTTCGCTTCCTCGTACGTTTTCTTTGATTCTCTGCTGTGTACTTTTTACTTTACTTTTTTCCCCTTCCTCCCCCTAACCCCACTAAGAAGGCTACAATTAAGTGTGGATATATACACATATACATAGATACCTTTAAACACATATACTTAAGTTCATACTATGTTTATTTCCACTTGTCATCTGTTTCTCTGACGGTGGATAGCATCTTCCTTCATATATTGAAGTCTATGTTTTTCTAAATCAACCAGCACACTGCAGCAATATTCCAACCCAATCACATCCTATCTGTTAGAGTGTCTATTAAAAGTGTTTTCCCAATTTTCTGCATTCCTCCTATTCTTGGCTGTGTAGGTTTTATTTATGCAAGAAAATTTTAATTTAATTAAAATTATTTATTTTATACTTCAACAATACTCTCACCCTATAATATAGTTTAAAGTCTAATACTACTGAATCTGCTTCTTTTACATCTTTTTTCCTGGTGTCTTTGAAGTTTCTGGCCTTTTGTTCTTCCAAATAAATTTTATTATTTTTTCTAATTCAGTAAGATAATTTTTAAGTAATTTAATTGGGATGGCATTAAATAAACAGATTAGTTAGGTAAAATTGTCTTTTTTTTTTAAAAAAAACTATATTGACATTACCAACCCATGAACAATAACTATTACTTCAGTTATTTAGATCTGACTTTATATGCTTTTTTAATATAAATTTATTTTTAGTTTTCAACATTCACTCCCACAAGTTTTTGAATTCCAAATTTTCACCCCATCTATCTCCCCCCACCCCACCCCAAGATGGCATACATTCTGAATATCCCTTCCCCTAGTCTGTCCTCTCTTCTCTCTCTCTCCCCTTCTCTTATCCCCTTCCCCTTCTATTTTCCTGTAGGGCAGGATAGACTTCTGTACCCCATTTCCTGTATTTATTTCCCAGTAGCATGTGAAAACATTTTTTTTAAACATATGTTTTTAAAACTTTAGGTTTCAAATTTTCTCTCTTCCTCCCTCCCCACCCACCCTTATTGAAAAGACAAGAAACTCAATATAGGTTGTACATGTACAGTTATGCAAAACACGTCCATAGTAGACATGTTGTGAAAGACTAACTCTATTTCCCTTAATCCTATCCTGCCCTCCCATTTAATCTATTCTTTCTTTTGAGCCTGTCCCTCCTCAGAAGTATTTCTTCTGATTACCCCCTTTCCCAATCTGCCCTCCTCTCTATCATATCCCTGCTGTCTCTCCCCCTATTTTCCTGTACGGTAAGACAGATTTCCATTCCCAATTCAATGTGTATATTATTCCCTCCTTAAGCCAAATCCTATGAGAATAAGATTCACTCATTCCCTCTCACCTTCCCCCGTTTCCCCTCCACTGTAAAAGACTTTTCTTTTCTGTTTTTTTTTGTGAGATAATTTACCCCATTCTACCTCTCCCTTTCTTCTTCTCCGAGTATAATCCTCTCTCATCCCTTAATTTTATTCTCCAGATATGACCCCTTAATCTTCAACTCACCCTGTGCCCTCTATCTATCCATCTACATATGCATACATATAATTTTTTTCCTCCAACTACCCTAATACTGACAAAGGTCTCATGAATTATAAATATCATCTTTCCATGCAGGAATGTAAACAGTTCAATCTTATGATTTCTCTTTCCTGTTTACCTCTTCACGTTCCACTTGAGTCCTGTATTTGAAAGGATCTGACTTTATTTGTATAAAGTGTTTTATGTTTATGTTCATAGGAAAAATTATTTTTGAATGACATTCCTTAAACCTGAATTAACTTTTTTTTCCATTTTTTTTTTAGGCAATTGCGGTTAAGTGACATGCCCAGAGAACCTGAACTAACTTTTAACAGAATCTATAATTCATCTAATTTACCTGAAAGTAAGTATATTCATCCAACATTTGCATTTAGCCAACAATACCTCTTGACTTCAGATCCAACCTTATTACAAAACCCACAAAACTCAGAGTACACAGTCAAAGACATGTATTTACTTTCTCACTTCTTTATGATATATTCCCTTCTCATCTCCAAATGTTCTTTCAAAGTCAGCTTAACTTGGCTTTGCTATTTTCCCCTCCCACTTCTAGTTGTTAGACTCTTGTTCTCTTCTAATTACCTTCTATCAACCCAAGTTGTGGCATCATGGATAATGTTAGACTAAGAGTTAGAAATAACTGACTTCAAATCCTGCCTCAGAAGGGAACTTTACTCTCTGTCTCAGTTTTCTCATCTATAAAATAAAGATAATAATTGTACCTACCGCATAAGGTTGTCAGGATCAAATGAGATAATGTATGTAAAAAGTTCTGCAAACCTTAAAGTGTTATTTGCTATTATTATACAAAGTAACCTATATTGGCACTTATCTATGTATGATATTGTATCCCCAAGCATAACATAACCCAGCACTTTAGTATCTTTGACATTCTGTCTCTCATACTTTTTCATAAATTGTAATCACATACCATACATGCCAGCTCAACATTTTACATCAGTTTCTTTACATTCCACTGCCACCATTTTAATGTAGATCTTTTAAGGCTTTTATAACTACTCACATAAACTATTCTGATGGGCTCTTCACAATTCTAAGACCACACTCTGCTCCAATCCACCTTTAAAACTGACACCATAACAATTTTGTACACATATATACCTGGCCATGTCACTGTTCTACTTAAAAGACTTCAATGACTCCCCAGTGAAGGTCAAATTCTTCTGTGGCACTCAGGGTCCTTCATAATCTGTCCCCTCCTCACATCCAGACATCACCTATTACCTTTGCTCCAAATACCTACTTTATGCCTCCCAAACACATAATTCCACCAATGCCTTTGCTCACCTTGTTCTCTATGCCTGGAATATCCTCTCTTGATGTTTTGCTATGGAATTCCCACCCATTCTTTAAAGTTCAATTTAGCATTAAAGTTTTGTTCTGTTCTCCAGAAGTCCTCCTCTCATCTCTTTGGTCAATATCCACTTACCCTGAAGACTTTACCAAGTGCTTTGTTTCGTAACTCTTACTACACTAATTGATAGTACATTAATTATGGCTAACTGTATTGGTATAATTCCCCTGGCATATTTTAAACTCCATGAATTCAAGAACAATGTCTTAAATTTTTAATATTCCCTTGTGCTTATCTTACAAACACAAGTATGTACTTAATAAGCACTTCATGGTGTGGTCCCTAAAAATAGTTTACTTAGTTTACCAACTAAAATTACAGTCAAACCCAAAATGGGTCAGGTGAACAACTCTGCCTCCTCTCTAAAACTCATGATAATGAAGAGAGTAGATAGACCTTACTGCCTATCTTCAAGCATTTATTTATTGCTCATTAAGCCAAAGAGTAGTAAATCCAAAATAAGAACTTTCTAAAAACCCAATAAATATAGGACAGCGTCAGTAATTAAGTGCTTGAAGACTTGTAATGAACAAGACGGAAAACTAACAAGCACAGTATCCTTATTCTTAGGATAGTGTTTCACAGATCATTATTACTATTGCAAATCAAAAGGCAGACCAGAATCAAATGACTAGGAATTATTGAATCAGTACAATACTTTCTAGGAATACAGAATTTATCGCCCTTATATTACAGAGTTTAATTAGTGCTTTCAAATATTATTCTCCTTCTTCATACTAGTCTCCAATACTAGGAACTAAAAGGACTTAGTATGGATATGATCCACATAGTAGATTATGCCAGAGGGATAAAACAATCAATCTATATTTACAGAACACTTTATTTGCATAAAACATTGTAATGGAATGCTACAAAGAACAAGGCAGAGACCTTTCTTTCATATAATTAACAAACTAGATGAGGAAGCAAAGATATATGCCTATGTATAGGATACAATATAGGATAAACAACAGTTAATGCTATTTCAGAAGACAGATTATTTGTGTCTCTAGGTGATTCAGGGAAACTCAGAGAAGTAGGGCTGAAACTGAATCTTAAAGCACTGGCTAGGATTTAAGGGGAATGGGGCAACAGAAGGAGGGAAAAAGGGAATGGCCTATCATTTACTTCATAGCCTGTCCTCTACCACTATGTACTGGGAGGAATGATTTATAGGAACCATTCTAATTGAGCTATTGCATTTAACACGTTGAATTCAGGTCCTGTGTGAAGTAACAAAATAGGAAACAACCAATATGATATTACAGAACAGTAAGATTTACAACTAGGAGCTAGAAGAGATCTGAGACTATTTAGGCACACCCCTTCATTTTACAGATGAGGAAATTAACTGAGGGCCAGGAAAGTTAAAAAATTGTTCAAAGTTCTTAAGAAGTCTACAACTTAAATCATTTAATTAATGAAATACAGGGATAGACAAGAGTTTGACTGTGAAAAGCTTCAAGTGACAGGCAAATAGCATGTAATATTTGTTAACAGTGGGAATTGCCCAATTCAATATAGACGGGACTAATCATGATATAATAGTTATTGATCCAAAAACACAGTGTGAGAGAAACAGTGAATAAGTGTAATAAAAATGACTTTCAATTCAATTCTGGCTGCTTTATGCCATGATGAAATATTAAGGCATTTTATAATAGAATACTTTCAAAGAATATATACCCCAAATATTTTCCAACTAATTGCAATTTTAATCAATGAATTATTTTGTCAAGGTAAAATTAACATAAAAAGCTTCCATTGTCTGTCTTACAGTACATGAGTTGAAGCACAATGATCTTCTTTACTTAATAATCATAATCAACACAAATTTATTTTACAGTTACTTTTAACCTTTAAAAATATTGGAGAAATAATTATGACTATTATTCCAAATTATTTTGGAAAATGTTGCCTCCTAAATTATTTTTTAAAAACAATAAAATGACTAATACAAAAATTACTCAATAACTTAGAAGTTTTCAAGACAGGTCAATAAGAAGAATTGTGCTTTCTTACCTCCAGGTTAAGGTAAAGTTCACCCAAGAAGAGCACAAAGGAATGAAATCGTTTTCTGGTAGCTTCATCTCCTTTTGCAGCCTGATCTTTGTTTTCATACTCAGTTCGACATCTAACAGACACACACAAACACAGATAAAAAACTCTCAAGATTTTAAAATGCTTTCTTAAAGTAACTTCTGAGTTTCATGTTCTCACAAAATCAACTATAAAAGAATTAGAAAATGGCCTTAAAAATAATGTGTATATAAATACACACACACACACACACACACACACACACACACACACACACACACACACACAGAGCAGTCCAGCAAAGACGACAGTAAAATGCATTCCTATAATAAAACCATCTACTTAAACTCAAAAAATTCAACACACATAAGTTCTAATATGCACAGGTACTAAGCTAAGTGTTAGGAATACAGAGACAGAAACAATTGCTGTTCTCAAGCTGCATGAGTTCTACTAGTGGAGGAGGAAAAACATAGATAAGTAAATATAAAGTGCTATTAAGCACAGGGGTTAGGTAAAGATGTCATGTAGAAGGGACTCAAGTTGTGCTTTAAAGATCGGGACTCTATAACAAAGATATAAAGAGTAAGTACATTTCAGGCATGGAGGACCACTTGTGGGAAAGCACAGAGGCAGGCAAGGTAGATGACAGCCAGACCGTGAAAGGCAGGCCAAGGGAACCTTATATTTTATACTACAAGCAAGAGGAGGTGGGGGTGGATTTAGCTTATGTTTTAAGAATAACAATTTGGCAGCTGCGTGGAAAATGGAATGGAGAAGAGATTAGAAAAATGGAGACTAGTGAGGATGTTGTTCTGTTGGGACTTCAGACTCAGCACATTTAAAGCTTAAAGTATCCTCTTTTCCCCCCAAACTGGTTCAAATACATATTACTACAGGGGAAAAAAAGTCCTCCAATTCAATCTATTGCTGAGAAAAGGACTTAAGACAGTTGCCTACCCCAAGGCATGATAGACACTGGAAGACTAAATTAACCTGCCCTTCACTGTACTTTCCTGACTCCTTTGACTGCCAACCTTCCTCATAGTAACTAGCAACCTCAAAGTTTATTCAAGTTAAAAACCCCACGGGTTGAATAAAGTGGTCTAGCATAAATCTTTCCTGACTCTTCTCCATCCTATACATTTTCTTCAATAATGCAAACATCCCTGATTTCACTTGTGTGGGCATTTCCTCCAGAACAACCTCTCTACAATGTAGTACACAATACTTCAAGAATTGCTGCAGTCAAAAAATTCAGTCCTTCAGTCAATTTAGAGTCAAGCCTCTTTGATTTTAGTTAAGGCAATCCCCAAATGAGAAATATTTAATCCACATACAGTCTACTGCCAGATATACAGTCAAAGCTTTCTGAGATTTGTCAGAGCTTGTGCTTGTCTAGCATAATCTCTGAAAGTTTAGGCTTCTCCATCCCACAGCGACACATCAGAATAGGACTTTAGTGGAGGGAAGTCCTATGTGCATAAATGAAAAAGCTCAGTCTCCTTACTTTGTTTTACTTGTGAATAAAGGAGAATTCTGTTCTATTTAAAAGCCAAGGAATTTTAATTTATTAACCTTTATTACATCTCAAAAGTAAAAATTTCAAAGCAAAAATTCAAACTGACAGCCCTATATTTTCAACCCATTAGCCTACCGTCAGGAGAGTCTTTCAATAGATGGTTTCTCAAACTTGCAGTGTAAATAGCTCTCTTCTCTTACCCCTAGAGACTTCTATACACTGGACAACACAGCAAATTTAATAAAAATGTTTGTAATATGCTACCAGTGATTTTTAAATACATTGGTGTTAAATGTTAAACTATATGTTTATGGCTTAATGAACTTTAGGAGGAAATTTTTAAATAAAAGTTTGGAATTTTAAAAATTAATTTTATTTTTTCTTTTAGAAGAGATAAGTAGTCTGTGAAGATCAAGGGAGTGGGGGCAGGATAACTAACCCCCAACTACCTACAGTCTTGGTTGGCTGGGCTTTTGTCCTGGTCAAGAATTTCACCCTGTCATCTGGTCTCATATACCCCTTAGAAAGTACAATAAAGTTGGGTACATCAAGAGAGTAAGAATAAAGGATCACAAGTGAACATTACAACAGGTGGGTAGGAAGCAGAAAGGATGTAATCCCAAGGCTGATTTAAATGCTAATAATTTAAAAGGTTTTTTTAAGGTTCTCAAGGTTTTATTTTTTTTTAAATTTTATTTTATTAATTTATTTTTAGTTTTCAACAATCACCTCCATAAGCTTTTGAGTTTTAAATTTTCTCCCCCTTCCTCCTCCCCTCCCAGGATGACGTGCAATCTGATACAGGCTTTACAACATTTCCATTAAACATATTTTCACATTAGTCATGACATTATTAACATTATTCACATGACATTAATCCCAATTTAAAAGTTTAAGGTGAAAATGAAGGAGGCATGGAAGAAGAATTTCATGTATTTCATACATTTTCCCTTACCTTTTAAGTAGTAACTGCCGGAAATTTCCACTTTGTGGACTAATGGTTAGATGATGAGACAAATAATTACACAGCCTTGCTCCCATGTAAGAGAAGTGTGGTACAGTTGTGGCCTTTTGATGGAAAATGGGAATACAACAATTTTTACATGAAACAAGCAAAACATGTAAATTAATTTTTTTTAAAAAAAATCCTTAATGGCAACAAAATGACTGAGGAGTAAATCCAAGTAAGAAATTGTTGTATCTCAATTTAAAGAGCTGGGTATATTATATTACTAAGCAAACAAATCTCCAACCACTTCTGTTCGGAGTAAGAAAAACAGCCTTCCCCCAGTGGGAAGTGGGCTGCTTAATGCAGCCAATTTAAGAAGAAAAACAAGCTTTAAATCAACTTTAAAGTGTGCCTGTAATAAAAAAGTATAAATACCCAATACTCAATAAAACAATACATTCAAAGTCCACTAAGTTCAAGCCAATTAGAAATACCACAGTGATGCCAGAAAGGACATATCTTTTTAAAAAGCCTTTTTAGTTAGGCGTGATAGCACAAGCCTGTAATCCCTTCTACTGAGGGAGAATGAGGCTGGTGTGTTGCTCCAGTTAGGGAAGTTCTGAGCTGCAGAAGGGCTAAAGGAAAGTATAATGAAACCATATTCATACTGGTCGGGAAACCACAACCTATAATAATTTATATATAAAAATCAGTAGGAATTTTTAAGTCATAAAGACCTTTTAACAAAGAACTCTACTCAAATTCCAAAGAACAGAAATAAATGTTCCACCCACCTGAAACTTATAAAAAGTCTTACATAATTAATGCTATATGACAAAATTTACCATGTTAAAAGAAAAAGTATATATTGTTGAAAGTTATGTTTTCTGTATGGCAACATTATGTAGGTTAACATAATGACCTGGCATAGGAATCCTGGTTTCCATTACCAAACTTCAGTTCCTTAACTGCTTAATATCTCAAATTTCCTCATCTGTATTAAAATACCTTTTACAAGTGTTCTGCAAAAGACCAATACTATATTAGACATACATATGTAACACATACATAATTATACAAAGTTCTAAAATGTATTTAAGATATGTTTTAATTGTATGGGCCAGATTTTACATAAATAGACTGGTTATTTTCACCTTCAGGAAAACTTTTTTTAAACTCATGTTCTGAAGGCTCATACCAAGAAAAGCACAGTAGGACAGTCAACTCCATATTTAGCTTAGAACCCAGTCCTTGGTTTTAATGACCAATGAGAGAGTATATTCTAAATTTCTATCTTTGTCATCTTTGGTCTACCAGAAAACTAAAATGATTCCTGGCTTTTCTCCTTATCTCAAAGCAAGCAAATAATTCCTTCACTACTTTCTATCACTTAGGTTTTCTTGAATGAGAAGGTAGAAAAAATTATAACTGCTCCTTGATGTTTCACTTAGATTTTTTTAGATCTAGTTGCCTGATCCTGGGGTTCAATTACCCAACTGTGAGGTTACTGAAAGTGTGTATGAGAAATTACTTTCAATTTCCAAATAATAGGTAAAAATTGCACAATAAAATCTCAACACAGCATGGTTAATGCAAATAAGTTAATCATATTCCTAACACTAATATCATCAAGCCCTTCTATTGTATTACTTTTATAAAGTACAAATTGTCTCTCTACAGGTTAATTTTGATAACCATGTAAACCAGTAATTTATTGTGATCCTTTGCAGTTTTGCTTTGAAACTATTAAAGGCCATGCATAAATACACACGTAAAAATGGCTAAGTGGAAAGATTGTTTCTTGTTGATGGGTAAGACAGGAATTGAAACAAAATAAGAAAAACAAGATTTAGGACTAAACTTTTAGTAAAGAAAAAGAGTTTTGCCTTCCTATCTACTGGATTCAGAAATTAATCTCTTTAAAGTTACTTAAGAAAGCCATTTTACTACTGCCATTAGTATATCCCAAGTTCTTCCTGTTGTCAAGGAAAGCTGGACAGTGTCATCTTGTTCTCTCTAATTACAAGGGTGAACTCTGTGTCTCTGGTCTTGGGAGTTTTTTTCCTATTTGTATCCCTAGTGGTTAGCACAGTGCTTGGTCCATAGTAAGCACTTAATAAAATGCTTTTTTATTCATTTATTTACTTATTACCACAACAGCAATGAAGTTAACAACTGCCACAATTTTGGCAACCACATCCAAGAGAACCCTAGATCTAGCTTTGCAAAGCTAAAGGGAAATCTTTGGCAATTCTATTTTTGGCTACACACACAGTTCCTTTTCTAGTTCGCACAGCAACTACAGTATTCAAAAGCAGTAAATTAGAGATACTATTAGTATCTCTCTTACTAATACCTAGTATTAGAGACCATAATACCAAAAAACTATGCACCAGTTCTCTTTGAAGGTATCTTGTTTACAGTCAGTATCTTAACATCAGCTGTCCTAATTCACACAGTCATACTAAAAAGAATATGTTTTTAAAGGAAAAACAAAAGACACAATGTGGCACTTTTCTCATTAATATTTCAATGTTATGACTGAATAAATACATGAATGAAACTTTTATTGAGCACTGCCACATGCAAAAAGCACCTTACTAAGTGCTGGAAATGCAAAGAGAAAAGTAAGCCAGTCTCTCCAGGAGCTCACATTCTAATGGGGGATACAGTATATATGAAAGGTTTACACTGCAAGTTAGATGGAAAGGTCTAATGGTCCTTATGGTGCAGTGGCAAAGCAGATAGTACTGTCACCTCCACTGATAAAAATCTAAGAGTTTCTAAAAATGAACCATTTCATAGTGCCAAGGGATTTGGAGAGGAGCACTGTATTTTCAAATGATGCGACCACGGAACCTGATGGAACAGTTGCCAAGCTGTATCTCCACAGGTACTATTTTCTAGGATTATAGCCTTGTACACTGGGTCACCACTGAAGATTGTTCATTTTTTTCCCCTTTACCACTTCCAAGAATTGGTATTAGCCTCTTTCTCTTATTTGGTTTACTAGTTGATAGATAACCACCAAACTCTATGGACTGACCTGGGGTCAATGCATTGCTCTGCAGCTGATTGGTTGGTTAGTTATCTTTAGTGAGAGTTTTTCTATTGACAGTTATCAACAAATCATAAAGCATTCAAGAGCCTAGCAACAGACTCAGCACTCGATGAATGTTTATCCATTTGGAAAGTTTGCCTTTTTAACTTAGCATGACAGAATCTTAATGTAGCAATGGGGACCCTAGGGATCATCTAGTCTAAGGATTCATGAACTCAAAAAAACCCAAAACTATTTCAATATAAATGGTATCCTTTGTAATTCTACAGTTTACTTAATACATTTAAAAACATTCTGAGAAGAGGTACATAGGCTTCACCAGACTGACAAAAGGGGACCCATAACAAAAAAAAAGAAAGTTTAAGAACTCTGGATCTAGTCTCTCTCATTTTGCAGCTGAGAAAACTGCTGTAGGTTAACAAGTAGGAAAGCTGAGATTTGAACCCATATCCTGACTACAAATCTGGAACCCTTTACATCACACCATACCATACATCTCTTCCTATATCATCATGATGCATATCATCCTCCTCCCTTTCTCTCCCCACCCCCAACTCCCAATTCCTTTAGGTCACTTAAATTTTTTATGATTAGGAAGTGAAAAAATGTTCCCTCTCTCACTGGTATTACTAGGTGGTAAAAGATAGGAGAAAGCATTTTTCAAGAGAAAGAACACTAGAATTGGCAACAGAGACCTGGGTTTTAGTTCTAAGCTCTGACACTATATGACTACAGCCAAGTCACTGTCTTTAAGCCTACTTCTTCACCTAAAAATGGGGATTCTACCACTTGGAACAACTACCTCACAGGGCTTCTGAAAAGAAACTGTACAATACTCCTTAAGTTTAAATTACTACTTTAGATTACTTGTTTATGTATCTAAAGACTTCTAATGCTACTAGCACTCTACAAACTACTGCAGTTAAGCGATATCCTCAGGGACTTCTCTCAGCAAGAGCCTACATATTTTACATCAGAATGTTCTTACAAAATTTTGAATGCTTTTCCTACATAAAATTTAAATTTAATTTTTGAAAATATTCGTGGACCTAGCTCAAGATAATGAAAAAGAACACTCTGCCCCTAGGATCTGAAAAACTGCCACTATAGCCAGATAGTACAAAAGCTAAAAGCCAGCATTTATATTTATTGCTTTAGGGTTTTGCAGAGTACTTTACATACATTATCTAATTTGATCCTTAGAACAACCCTGGGAAGTAGGTGCTATTTTACAGATGACAAAATTAGTCTTAGAGTTTAAGTGACTTCTCTAGGATCACACAGGCAGTAAACGTTTGATGAAGGATTTGATGTAAGGACTTCCTGACTTCAATCCAGCACTATTCCACCTACACCCACCTACTATTTAAAGAATAGGTGAAACAGGGAGCAGCTAAGTGGAGCTGTGAATAGAGTACCCGCCCTGGAGTCAAGAGGACCTGAGTTCAAATTCAGCCTCAGACACATAATACTTCCTAGCTGTGTACCTCACTAAAAAACAAACAAACAAGAATAGGTGAAACAGGAGCTAAGTTTTGATTCCTCTATCTCATTTACTTACGTGTTCCTCCATTTCCAATCCTTTTAGAGCTTAAAAATTCAGAAAAGCTTTTTTCTCCATACAAACCTTTCTGAGGCACACTACCTGGAATTCAAACATGTACCAGGAAAAGGGATTCAAAAATTCTTGCCACGGCTTCTCTTAATTCTAAGGCCAGAGAAGCATAAATATGCTTTCTTTGCTTCTTGACCTAATTTTCCTCCATTTCATTAGAATCTTTCATATTTAACATTAAAGTAACATTGGAGTCTTTTGGAAAAGACACTATTGTGGGATTGGGGGTTAGGAGAGTGAAGGTACACGCCTGTAATCTCTGCTAAGGCTGGCAGATAGAATGAGATAGGGAAGTAGCCAGCTGTAGGACCACTATGGTGAGCATCAAGGAAGGACTATCAGGCTTCTTAAGAGTGAAACAGCTTAGATCAGAAACAGAGGAGGTCTGCACTTCCGTGCTGATCAACAGTGTGTTGCTGCTGCACTTTCAGCATGGGCAAAAGAGAGAGACCAAATGTCAAAAAAAATTTTTTTTTAATTAAAAATAAATAAAAGGAAAAGACTACTTAGTCAAAGCCTGGAACATAGTTAGGCACTTAGTAAATGTTTTTCTGTTCCCCCCACTAGCCTTAAAAAAATTCTTATTTTTAATTTCACCATGGTTTTATTGCTATGTTATTTCATCTATAATAGAGCTACCATAAGGCCCAACTGTAAAAAGTTAAAAACTAGGGGATAACGGTCTTTCTAGATAATAGTTTTATGTGACTTAACACAGTATTTTTTATGTCTTGAATAGTTTTTAAACTCTTTTTGATCTGTACTAGTAATTTGTGTACTGGTCTTATCTTCCCTAGTAGATGATAAATTCTTTTAGGGCAAATGTTATAGCTTGCTCATTTCTGACACAGTGCCCCTAGCATAACACAGAACTCAGAATATACTAGCTGAATGAAGGCCTTATTTTTCCCTAGTGGATTAAAAACTGCAGTATTTTTAGGTACTATGTTTTAAGTCTGCTCTTAATTTGCCATACACTCTTAATTGGTCTTGATAGGTGAAAAATACTCACAAATAATCCAAACTGTTTGTAAGGTGTAATATCTCCCCCATCACTTCTTCTACCAGGGCTGCTATAAACTGGCAGAAATGAATAACCTGAATTTTAAGTACTTTTATCTTCCTTGTCTACCATTAGAAGTAAGAAGACATACCTACCTCTTTACAGAGAAGTGATGGACTAATAAGCAAAACTGGATCTATGTTTTTGGACAGGGCTAATATGGGGATTTTCTTTGCTTATGTAAGGGTTTAGGGTATCGCAGAGAAAAAATAAATACTAGATAATTAAAAATAAAGTTTGATAGATTTTTTTAAAGTAAGCAAAAGGATAAGGACAGAAGATCAAATAATCCACAAATTTTATAATCTCTCATAATCTGAGAGGACATTGATTTTATCATTATATGCCATATCTATGAAATGAAGCTAGGAATATAACTTGACTTTGACAGAATCCCTTAAAACACTCAGTAAGAAAATAAATACTAACAGGTTAACACACTGGAAAACATTTTTAAAAGACTCCTTTTCCACGGAATAGAAACTAAAACTTTGGCAACTAAAAAAAAGCCAAGGGAGTTTTTTTTTTTTTACCCCTAACTTGTTTCATGGTTTTTGATTAATAAGCCTGGAGAGGAACTTCTGGGTGTCATGATGAAGAGAGGATAATATAGCAAAACAACAGAGACAGAACAATATTATGCTTTAATTAGAATGTCATCTTCTTCCAAAGCTGTGTTTTTCACAGACAAAGACCATCCACTAGGCTCTGAAGCCTATGTTGTTTTTTCAGTAGTCATGATGGAATGCTATGAAGCTTCTATTCTCTTTCACCCAATTCCCTATGACTAACTGCATCCATTTCCAAGATTCCTGGCTCATTAAGGGTAAATGCTGTGCCTATCAAACTCTCTCTGAAGCTAATTATCCTAGACAAGAAATCATATCCAAAACTCTGTTCCTATTACTCCAAACTGAATTAACCAGCTAAAATAATCATCAAATATTTTTTCCACTGATATAAAAAGACCTATGCCAATAAGTGGAAAAATACCAAACACAAAGAAAATATAAGTTTCTCAAAAGTCTATAACCTTAAAAACCCCAGAAGTTTCATCATAGTAAGAGCTAGCATTTATGTAAGGTTTACAAAGTAGTTTGTATGTCACCTTATTTGAGCCTCACAATGACTGGTGAGATAGGTACCATTATTATCCCAATTTTACTAAAAGGGAAATTGAGGCAAATAGCTTGAATAGGGTAACACAATTAGTTTAAAACGTTTGTGGTGGGAACTGAACTTAAATCTCCCTGACTCCACAGCCAACGATCTATCTGCTGTGCCACCTAGCTGTCTAACAAAATTTGGGCTAAATGGGAAAAGACCATAGAGGACCGAAGTTGTAGAACTGGTAATCCCCTTATTTCACAAATGAGGAAATGAAGGCTCAGATAGCTTAAGTGACAAGCCCAAAATCACACAGTAAGTAAATTGGAAAGCCAGTATTTTAATTTAGTTGTCTCACCTCAAATTCAGCAGTTCTACTATATCACACTGCCCAATGAAAAAAATTTTTTACATGACTGCTAAATATTTATTTCAACTAAATATGTTTAAAAGTTTCTAAATTCCACTTTATTGTAGAAGCAGATTAAGAGCATTGATTGTAAGCTGAACATTTTTATATTAAAAACTATTTTGTAGGATTTTAAAAATACCCTGGCTTTTACTCAAGTCCCTATTGATGACATGGGGGTAAGAGGACAGGAGAAAAAGGAGGAGGAAAAGGTAATGGTTATAAGGTTCATGAGGTCAGAGACTGTTATATTTATTAAACTTTTTTCTCTAAACTTATTGTTTCTGCATGTTCTCACTCCTATTTCAATATGCTATATAATCTAAGCCAAAGAAGGAAAAAAGTAAAGTGATACTATTTATTTCTAAATTTTATAGGTAAAAGGAAGGGGGTAGGAAGAGTCCTCTCGTCCATGCAATTTAATACAACTCCAAAAGCATAAAAAGGTAAAATAAGTACAGGCTATCATCTGTTAAGCCTCTCAAGCACTGGACATTACCAATTTCCTCTGGGCTCCAAGGAAGCTATACTTAAAAGAGCAAATGATATAAAACCAAAATATAGAACATACCTGCTGGTAGATGAGTTCCACGAGGTCTTGCAAAGCATCATCAGTAGTGACCCAGCCTTTAAGAGTGTCTGCAAATTGATCAATTTCAGTTTCAAAACTTCCTGGCTGTTCTGTAAGGTGATTCAAAAACTCCTGTACATATTCTGTAAGAGTGGGATAACCATCACATCCATCTTCATAGGAAGAATCCTACAAGATATAATCACACACACACACACACAATGAAATTCATGAGTAAATCTCAGGTAATCCCTCTGGCAATGCAAACTACAGATTTCTCTACCACTCAGAATCTGACTTGGCCAACACAGCCAGTATGTGTTGAGGCAAGACCCCAGGTCTTCCTGGCTTCCATACCAGCTTTCTAATTATTCCACCAAGATGCCAACTATCAGAATCTAAGAAATTATTTTTATATAACTTTAGAGAAGATCTCTAAAGGCTAACAATGAGCTACCAAAGTATTGATTTTTAAGCTCTCTTCCCTAAAGGTTAGTATTTCTTAATTTAACTCAAACTCAAAAACCTGAAGTTTGAGGGGTGAAAAAGCTACTTTTAAGAATACCTTATGAAAGATGCTATATCCAGTAGAAGTCATAGGCTATAAAATCTGGATCTAAAAAGGCTATAAAATCTGGATCTAAAAATTAATGTCTTTTAAAGAACCAAAGACAGATAACAGGCATACCTCTAAAGCCAATTTTGTTAAATCTACTTTTAAAACTATAATTTTGAACAATTTTCAAAAAGTCCTTACATTGGATTCACTATTTGACCAAAACTGCTGGGAAAACTGAATAGCAGTCTGGTAGAAATTAGCTTCAGATCAATACTTCAAACCACATACTATATAAAGATAAGCTCCAAATGGATACATAATTAAGACATTAAAAGTCACATCAAATACATCAGAGGAACAAATAAATTATCTCCCTAGATTTATGGATAAAGAAACAGTTCATGAAGTGATTAAGTGACAGGATTAAACAAGATAAAATGGATAAACATCACTATTTAAAATTTAAAAGTTTGGCACAACTCATTTAGTAAAAATTGGAAGAGAAACAGATAACTGGGAAAATAAATCCTTGCAACATGTTTCTCTGATAAAAGTCTCACTTTCAAGATATACATGAAGATGTGATTCAAATTTGTAAGACTAAGAGTCACTTTCCCAATAGATAAATGGTAACAGGATATAAACACGTAGCTTTTAATGGAAGAAATTTAAGCTATCAAAGTTATACAAAAATACTTTAAATCACTAATAATTAGAGAAATACAAATAAAAAGCAACTTTGAAGTTCTACCTTACCTCTATCACACCAGAAAAGATGACAAATATTGAAGGAGACATATACTAGGGCACCTTACTGTCTGTGTATCTGTCCAAGCAATTTGAAAAACAATTTGGAATCAGGCCCAGAAATCCACCAAACTGTGCATACTCTAACCCAGCTATACCACTACTAGGCCTATACTCCACAGAAATTAAAGCAGAAAAGGTTTTATATGTCAATATTTATTGCAGCTCTTTTTATGGAAGCCAAAAAATGGACACTAAGGGGTTTTCTTATTACAGGAACTGCTGAACAAACTGTGATATATTAATGTACTGTCATTTTAAGTGGATGATTTCTGAGGAAGAAAGGAAGTCCATTATAAAATAATGCAGAGCAAAGTGAAAATAACTAGGAAAACAATTTATATAATAACATTACAGAGAAAAACAATTTTCAGACTTCAGAACTTTGATCAATGAATTGATATATCATAAGTTCAAAAGAATGAAGATCAAACAAACCACTCACCTCCTGAAAAAGTAATGAAATTAAAATATAGAAAGAGACAAATTTTCAGACATTGTAATGTGGGAATGTGTTCTGCCTGATTATGAAGCTATGTAATTAAGGGGTTAAAAAAATTATTCAACAGAGGGTAGGAGTAGGAGGGACAAATTTTTAAAAATACTTGTTGAAAATTTTTTTTATAAGTCCTCACACATTTAAGGTTCCCATTCATAAAAATACATGATTACCTATTACAAGGTCTCCTTTGCATAATTTAACACACTCCATCCCCCGGTTAAATCTTATTTCAAAACAAAGTAATAAAACTGGTAGGTAAGCAATTCAGCATTCAAATTCCAGATACATTTAATTCACAAATTAAACAACTTTAGAAGAAGAAACAATGAGATCTACAATCTACTATTAACTGATCAGATGTAGTAAAAATACAAGAACTCTCTCCAAATTCATTTGTACAATAGTGTCAAGGATTAATGAAGAAATAATGGCAAAGGGTTCCTGAATATATTGACTCCCAAGAAGGTCAGTGGTAATTTGGGGGTGAGCGGAAAGGAGGATTGTTTCACTAGTGTAAAGGAACTTCTGGTCTGAGAGGATGAAGAACATTGGGCACGGCCAATATGAGGTTACCTGCATTGGCTAGCTGAAAGTTTGAAAAGGTCCTAAGAGCACACTCAGGTCCATACTTAGTACAAAAAAACCTGCTAATTCAGGAAATTTCTGTAATCAAAATAAGGCAGATTGTCAGGTTTTAGGTGGCTAAAGGAAACTAGTTACTACTTGAAGTTGAGGCTTCAACATGGCTGCAAAGCAAGAGAGGACCTCCCCCCCCCCATCATACTCTGGTGGAAGAATGAATTAGCAAGTAAGAAAAATGGTGCCTCCCCCTCCCCCCCAATCTTGAGGAAGTAACAACACTGTGGTGGAAGCAAGAATGAATTAGTAAGTAAAAAGAATGACTCCCAAAAAATCAGATTATAGAAGCCTAGATTTTTGAGGAAGTAACTTGGACTCCCAGGACCTCTTGTTTTTTTTCATCTGTAAAATAAGGAGGTTAGACTAGATGATCCCAAAGTTCCTTTACCACCTTAACAGTTATTAATTCTAGGTTCTAGAAGGGATTGATCGATGCTTTCAGTCATATGTAACTGAATGATGAGACCTTTCTATGTGTAGTTTTAAACCCAAAATTCACTTATACTGTAGCAAAAATTTCACATACCTCTGAGCTAGTGATGCCCTGGCAAACTAGGCAGTGCATTGCCTTGGGAGTCATCTGTGCTATGCACCAAGCACATTAGCGTAGCAGGAACAGTCAAGTGCTTGTTAGAAATAAGTTCCCTCTACCAATGCAGACCAGCATTTTGTCTGCTACTTAAAATCTTACAGAGTTGCCTACAGCAGTGGTGTCAAACTCAAGGCCTGAACCAGATTACAATGTAATTGGGAAATGTTTAACAATATAAAACAATACAACATAAATTAATTTGTGGTTTTATTTTAATTTGACACCACTAGTATAGAGTTCTGAGAGGTTAAGTGACTTGCCCAAGGTCATAGCCAGTATCTGTCAAAGACAGAACTTGAACCCAGGTCTTCCTGGCTTCTAGTTCACAGCTCTGTAGCTACTACCCAGCGCTACTTCTCTGCTAAGTTGTGAGAATAAAATGAACATTATGGGAAACAGACTGAACTCTTAGAAGAGAAATCCACCACCACTTTTTTCCCCTTGTTATGAATGACAGCAACCCAAGTTCTCTTACAGCCCTTCAATAGCTTCCTTTTGTATTTTGGGCAACAAATAATTTCTGAGAAGTCTTACATATCTACTCTCACCTGTGCTATACTTATACAGAGACTACCTTCCACTTTCAAATTCTCTAGGACAGATCAGTTTTGTTCTTCTTGTCTCCCCACACTTATTTTCTTCCTTTTCTACCTCATTTTTTCCTCAAGGGGTCTTCAACATATTTGAATTTTTCTGAACCACCAAACTAAATCCTCTTTAGTTCCATAATCTAAGAATGAACATAATCACAATTTATACTTTATATAGAACTTTTAAGATTTCCAAATTTCTTTCCTCACAATGCTTTGAGACAGTTATTACATTTTGCAGATGTGGAAACAGAAGCTCTGAAAACTTAAAGGACTTACTGAAGGTCACATAGCTACTAAGTGAAATGGCCAGAAGCTGAGATCAACTATTCTTTAACCCATTAACTTAATCATTTCCTCTCATTTCTCTTTGACTAAAATCTTTTTTCATTAAGAGACTGTAATTTTTTTTATAAACCGTTCATAGTGTTTCTAGTACTATGTTGTCTTTGCTTACTTTATAAATCTTAGATGCCTGCAGCTTTTGTATTTTTGTAATCTTGATACAAAAAAAGACTCAAAAGGGAAAAATCAAAAAAGACAGTATTTTTTCCACATATGCATTTTAAAACACGTTTTTATGTGTTAGTAAAAGGTGTTATATTTGAATGTGTTCATACTTAACTTACAACGCATCAATTTGAGGGTACCTAATCTTTCCACTACTAAAGCCCTATCCTTAATTTTGGTTAGTCAAATAGTCAATTAAAGATTATTAAACCAACCAAAACATGCCACATAATTTTTGCATATAACACAATTATCAATAGAGACCTAATAACACACTAATTTTCTACTTCGTATTTTCTAAAACTTCTAGGGGTTCATATCTTCTGAAATATAATACAGTTAAAGCCATCTTTAAAACCTCTTTAAAACCAAAAATGATAAAAAAAATTCATTATTTCCTTTACAGATAAACTCCAACTGTACATATAAGACATCCTTCACACGCATAAACATGCTGATGATATATTCGAAAAGTCAATAACTATCACAAAGCTAACTGTAACAAAAAATGCCGATACTTACTGTATAATTAGAAGTGTAACCTGATGGGTAAAATTCTGGGGCATTTACGGACAACTTCGACACAAACACAGGTGCTACAACCACCTGGGGTTTAGCCATTACTGAAGCACGGGGGGAGATTTTATCCTGTGAACTAGGTGGAGCTCTCGTAGGCTTCGGATGTTCTAAGAAAGAACGGAGAAAGATGTTAACTCTTTAAATTCCTTTGTGATATTGCTTTCAAGAGAAAAGCCCTCGGACGGAGTCTTCCTTTTTAAAAGTTACAACACAACGACAAAAAGTACGGCCATTTCTAAGGAAGAGGTGAAAACCCCGAAAAGAAGCTGCATATGTCCGAGCAGCTTTAGTAGCAGTGTATGGCCCCGCTGCCCAAAGGGAATGCTGAGGACATTGGGGCGGGGGGGTGGGGGCTGGGATAAAATGGGGGTTAGTACCCGGCTCTCTTCCAAATAACAGGGGGGCTGTCTTTTTTCCTCTCCCCACAGCAGGAGCGCTCGGAGGCCCGAACCCAGCCCTGCCCGGGGAAGCACAAAGGCGCCCCGCCGGCTTCTTCCCGTCCCTCCCCCGCCCCCCCCAAAACTCAAACCATAAAGTCAATGAAAAACAAGGCTCCGGGTGGGCGAGAGGTAGGAGGGGAGGACGCGGGCCGCGGCTGCACGCCGAACCCGTCCCCCGTCCAGGACACTCGGAGAAGGGGGAGCGGACAGTGTCCGGGTCGGGGCGCGGGGGGGCAGGATGGGCCGAGGCTCCCCCCCCCCCGCCACTGTGTACCTGCGGGAGGCCCGCCCGGAGGCGGCCGGTCGGGAGCGGCCGGGAGCTCTGGCAGGGCCCCGGGCGGAGGGGACGTCTTGGGCGGCCTCAGCGGCTCGGGGGGCGGGGGCTGCTGCGGTCGGGGCCGCTCGCCCGGCTCCGCGGTTCCGCTGCTATCGCCTCCGCCGCGAAAACCGACGCCCTCGGGCCCGCCCCCTCCGCCTCCTCGGCCCCGGGCCCCGGCCCTGGCCCCGACCAGCACCTGGGGCCCGGTCAAAACCGTCCGACATGCTCCTCCTCCGGCTGCCGCCGCCGCTCCGGGAGGGAGGAGGGAGGGAGCAGGGAGAGAGCCGGGGCTGCGGAGCTGCGCTCTCGCCTCGGCCCGCCCCCAGCGCTGCTCCGCCCCGCCCCGCTAGGGCCTCATGGAGGGAGGGAAGAGTAGGGGGCGGAGAAAGGGCCAGGCCAGCCGGGACGCGGAACCCCGAGGCAGCGGCCCGGCCCCGCACCCACCCGGCTCCTTGCTCCGCCCCCCACACCGGCGGCCTGGGCAGCTACTCGAGGTCTACCCCTCCGTGGGAGTCGGGGGGGGGCGACACGCGGCCACAGCGGCCCTGGGTGCGCCCCCGCGAGGGCCCGCGCCGCCCCGGGGTCATCCGCGGGGAGGCTTTTCCACTCAGGACGCTCCGGCCCCGCCTCCCCCAAGCTCGACCCCAACCCCACCGCCCGAGGCACCGCCTCCGGCCGGGCCCAGGCCGCGTCCCCACGCCCCCCCCTTCAGGGGCCAGCTGACCTCAGCCCGAGGCCGCGCTCGAGAGTCGTCGGGGCCTCCCCGGGGGACCGGGGCAGGGGCTCCCTCGGGGCGGCGGCGCTCGGCCGGCTCCGGACCGCGGGGGTGGGAGTGGGATGGGGACTGAGGAGAAAAGGCGTCGCCTTACCCTGCCCTGACCGTGGCTCCCGCGGGACTGAGCTCCCTCGGCGGACGCGGCTCGGCGGAGCCTCGCTCTCCTGACAGAGCCCGGGTCGAAGCCACGGTTGTGAGGAGGAAGGGGGGAGAGCGGGGGAGGGTGAGGGGAGACCTGTTCACTCCGCGCCGCCGCCGGGGTCATCCGGGTGCGCGCTCCGCTCCCCAAGGCGGGGCACTCAGCGCTCTGGGAGCGTACGACCGCGCTCCTGGCCCCCCCCCCCGACCGCGAGGAGCGTGCAAGCGGGCATGCAGACTGACAGGCGGGCGAGCGGGCTGGGACAGCGCCGGGGAGCGTGCGGCTCCTCCCTCCATCTCCCACTCCTCGGGGTCTGCCCATTTAAAAAGTAAAAAGATCAATTCAGTGGAACAGAGATAATACTCAGTTATTACTGGGCTTAAGAGGGAAGAGTATTATAAATCCTAAACTGGAAAAGGCTTTAGGAATCACGTCGTGCAAACACATCTGGTAGTGGAAGAGAAAACTGACGAACTCGGCGGCGACTTGCCCCTAAGGTCATACTAGAGGCACAGGTTCCCCCCATTCCCCCCCCCCGCCAAACTCCAGGCCCCTGCACCCAGAGGGAAAGGCTGGGCAGGGAGTTGAATGAGCGCTGCTTCTATAAGAGAAAACCTGCAGGAGCTCAGCCCTCTGCTAAGAAACGAAACAGAAACTATTCTGAATGCTGCCGAGCCAGAAAGAACTCAGCCCCTTCTAGAAAAACAGGAACCATTCTGAATGCAGCCGAGCTCTCCCAGAAAAGAAACAGGAACTTCCAAATCCTGGCAGGCTGTGAGCCTGTCTTTCTCCCCCTCCCACCCCCATCCCCAGGGCCCCAGCACTTCCACCAACCAAAAAGCAGAGGGGACCTTCTGAGCGATGATACTTGGCACTATTGTGATTTGAATTAAAGGGCAGTGCCACAGAAATACAGACTACTGTCCATAGTTTTTTTGGAGGACAGCCTTATATTCTAGAAATAGATCTTTCAATGAAATTCCTATTTTCTATACCATTTATTTGTGCACCTTATTACACATACAATATTGTGGGTGCCAAAGCACTAAGGCGCTTCAAGAGAAGTGAGACTACTATAGGTAAGGAGAGAGAAATGGGGCACGATTTTTATTCTCCTCGTTCTGTTGCTTACATTTTTATGACTAACTGTTGGCAGGCCCTGTGTTTTAAGGTCAAATGGCAACATTGCTTAGATGAGTATTGAAAGGAGATTCGAGGCATGTCCCTCAAGCATTGTCAGTCTGTAATCATGTGAGATTGTGGAAAAGACCTTTATAAATCACCTTCCAACAACACTTCTACTTGCCATTGCAAATTCAAGAAAACAAAAACAAAATAACTTCAAATGGGAAAACATTAGCTTTCCCAAGACAAACAGAAATAAATAAGGATATCTTTGCTTCCCCTTATTATTTGGCATTGTTCTAAAATTATATTGGCATTTCTACATATCAATAACAAAATCCAGGAGAAAATAATAGAAAGGAAAATCAAGACAGAAATATAATTTAAAACACCTTAAGGAAATTATAAGGAATAGTTGAAAGAATGTTCAATGCTCAGGGTTCAGATGTACCAATATGATAAAAATGGCTTTACTACCTAAATTGACTTATCAGTTTGGTGCTAAGTCAGATTAGCACCACAGCACTTTATAGGGTTATTCTAGTTAATCAAATTCATTTAGAGGAACAAAAAGTCTGAAATCTCAAGGGGGGGAAAGGGAAGAAAAATAGTGGGTTGTAGATTGAACGGCTGTAAGCAAAAGTTGGTATATTATAAAGGGGATTCTTGTCCAAGTCGGGTTTGCATAAGATGGCCACAACAGTCCATTCCAACTCAGAGATTCTGAGGACCTAAAAGATGACAAGTCTATGAGCAATACTGTCTCACAAGACAGGAGGGAAAGAGCCTTCATAAAGCTTAGTGTGAGATCTGACTAAACCAGATAATTCCTAGAGAATTTGTAGGTGAAACTGGGAAGACAGCAAACAGATGTGAAATGGAATGAATCTGCAAGAATTTTTATAGTAGTTTATTTTTATTGGCAATGGCAGAAGAACCATTTGAGCTCTACCACCTCAGCACCTTCTGTACTATGTGAGGAAGTAGTAATGGTATTTATGAAGATGAAATTGGGAACAATTGACTAGAACTCAGTACATAGAAAATAATTTTTATGCTACAAGTAACTAAATTTTCATGGTACCCAGGGACCAAAAAAACCCAGAGTGATCCCAAAGAAATAGAAAAGATCAAAGATGATGCTTTTATTTGAAAAAGGCAACCAAGAAGACATTGGCAATTATGTATTAGGTTTGGTTTAAAAAAAAAAAGCAACAGGGAGGGTTTAGTAAACGATTTCCTACAACATCTTTAAACACAACTGAGAAGTGCAAAGAATGTAAGATCCCATTGGGTCTATTTGTCCATTTAAAATATATATTGGACTCTGTAGTGGAGGAGGAAGTCTCCTCAAACCCAGAGTCTTTCACGTGTACATTAAAATTTTAAATGACTGTATAACAGATGCTACTGGAGAGTTAACTTTAAAAAAAAATTGAGTATTGACACCAAGAAAGAAATAAGGAAGTATACTCAACTTAAAAGTTTCCATTGTCTTGGAAGATGTACTGGGCCAAATCTAAGCAAAAGTGCTCCCTATTGATGGCAAGGTTTTTTTCAAATATGTCTATTTCCAGATGTTGGTCAATGGTTTCAGTCCTTTCTAACTTTTTTTTTTTTTTGGTGAGGCAATGGAGTGAAGTGACTTGCCCAGGGTCACATAGTAAGTGTCAAGTGTCTGAGGCCAGATTTCAACTCGGGTCTTCCTGAATCCAGGGCTAGTGTTCTTTCTAACTCTTCATGACCTCATTTGGGGTTTTCTAGGTAAGGATACTGGAGTAGTTTACCATTTCTTTCTCCAGCTCATTTTACAGATGAGGAAACTGAGGCAAGCTAGGTTAAGTGATTTGCCCAGGGTCATACCCGTAAGTATCTAAGGCCAAATTTGAACACAGATCTTCCTAAATCTAGGTCTTGCCCTGTATCCATAGCACCACCTAGTCCTGATGTAAAGATGACATTATCTTAATTTCAATGAGCCTCAAAACTTAGAGTGTGACACTAATTCAAAAAATATTCATCAAAGCATCTACACTGGGAATATAAAGTGGATCAATCAATCAGTAAGTATTTATTGAATACCTACTATTTTTCAGACACTGTGCTAGGTGCTAGTGATACAAAGAATGAAACAATCCCTACTCCGAAATATCTTACATTCTAATACAGAGAAGTACATATACAATTGTAATCTTGACTCATATCTACAGGGATGATTTATAAAACTGGTCTTGAAATCATAATAATTCTTCACTTAGAAGTGTAATTATAAAATGGCTCATGTTTATGCCCCAGTTAGAAAGCAAAACTCTCAACAACTGACTAGGTATGGAACTTCCATGCTTGCAATAGGAAAGATCCCACTATCTTTCACGGCTCTAATTGCATACATATGCCACAAAGGGACATCCAGGTACACAAGGACAGGTCAACCACAGGTGTTTGTGAGAAGTAATATTAAATCTGGCAAATGTATTTTTTAACAGAAAAAAATTAAGAAAATGAAGTGAAGTAAGAAAACAGGGTAGGACTGTCTTGTTTCTCTCTGATCCTCTACAGCAAAGCCCATGATAAAATATGCAATCGTGCACTTTCCAGCTTGTTGATTCAGATAAAATTCATCTGTAATTGTTTTACAGAAGAGAACTGTAGGTGTTTCAGATATCAGTTGCTGCCCCACTGTGTCGCTACCATGGGACAATCGCCACCTCTCCATTCTTCTCTCCTCAAGTCCCCAGACTCCTATTTTAGCCTCGTATGAAGATCTCTGCCCTGCTTATCAGAAGACTGATTTCTCATTTGCTTCCTCTCTTTCCAAGATGAAAAGAACTATAAATCTTCCTTATTTCCCATTCCAATCTATTGCCAAGGCCTGTTGATTTTACCTTTCAAAATATCTAACCAATATGTCCCCCTTCTCTCCTCTAACTATGCAACCACTTAGGTGCACAGTTCAGACTTAGACTATTGCAGTCACCTGCTGGTTTGTCACCCTGCCCCAAGTCTCACCTCACTATAATCCATTCTCCACTCAGCTGCCAAAGTGATCTTCCTAAAGCATAGGTCAGACCATGTTGCCCCTCCCTCCCCCTACTCAGTTAACTTCAGTGGCTCCCTATTGCTGCCAGGATTAAACATAAAATCACCTGTCATTTAAAGCTCTTCATAACCTAGTTCACTCTTACCTTTGCAATCTTCTTATACCTTACTACCCCTACTCCTACCCCCCATTATACTCTGCAACTCAGTGATACTGGCTTACTTGCTGTTCCACA